AAATTCTTCATGGAACATCCCAAGGCTGTTGTTGATCCAATGAGGCTACAGTGCCAGTAACATATACTGACGCTGTTCAGTCGATAGAATTCATAAGGCAAGTAAAGATCAAGCTACATCGAAAAATATGATCTATTGGCTAAGCAAAATTAAACTGTGTATCCACATATGCCAAACACTGGCCATTTGATGACATCCCGTAGGAAATAAGGCATTGTGTTTTCAAATAAGTTATCACCACACCAGTGTCAATTAAACAAAGATGACTGTCAGTGTAAGTCTGCCAATAAAATGATTGATTAGATGGTTTTGAAATCTCTAGCAAAAGAAAGAGAAATAGAAAAAGATCAATTTTAATCAGTCTCTCAGTACATATGTATCCTTCTATCTGGGTTTGCCTGTGTTAACTTATAGTGAGGAAGCCAATAACCACCTTGAAATTTATTTTCCCTTTAGTTTCTTTGGTGTCATAACTAATGCAGCTCACCTATAATCATACCTTCTTCTCCTAGGCAATAAATCCCATGACATTTAATTAGAAAACAGAGGACACTAAGTGCCCCTTAGGGCCTCCACATTGTAGATACATAGCTTGCATCAATCACTTCCCTCTCAGTTTTTCATCTGATCACATTTTTCCTGATCCTTTGTTATATTGGTAAATATGCAACACTCCATGGGCATACCTTTTGATATATCTTCATCAGTATCAGCAGTATAAAATGACCAGTGATATTTTTTTAGGACACTAAACTTAGTCTTTCCTTTCCTGGTGTGAGAACAGATGTTAAAGGAAATTTTTAGCTGCTTTAGCTTTATCATCATAGGTAATTAAGCCTGTATTATAGTGTCATAAATTCTGAGCCAGTAGAAGCCTTTAGAGGCCATCAACTCCAATCCCCTCCTTTTACTGATGAGAAAACTGAGGCATGAAGAGGTTAAATGACTTGACCAGGATCACACAGCTAGTTGGTAGATGAGGCCAGATTTTAACCTAGGTCTTTCTGATTCCAAGTTCATGATCTGTCCCTTGGTATATGAAATATTGAATAAAATGAAAAGTATTTAACAAAGAAATTTCAAGATTTCTTTCTTTCCTGATTTTCTAGGTGCATACAATAGATACTGATCTTGCTGGAATGATTAGCACCAATCAAGCCTAGAGGAGATTGCTTTTTTTTTAGATAAACTAATGGGATTCCACAGTCTCTAGCCATAATCTAAGTTCTTTTTAATTAGGGCTCACAGTAACTTGGGGAGGAGGTGTTATTATTATCCTATTTTACAAATGAGGAAACTGAGTCAGAGGCTGAGTAACTTGCCTTGGGTCACACTCTACATCGTACTGCCTACCTGTCTAAAGATGTATACTAAATAAATACATGATCTACGTAAATATATATCATATGTACAAAGTAATGCTGAGAGGGAAATCAATAGGAGCTTAGGTAGATTAGTAAAGAATTCATATGATGGTGTTTGAGCTGAGTCTTGATGGCAAGAAAGGATTCCAATAGACTGAGGTGAAGAGAGAATTCATCCCAAGCCAACGAGACAACCGAGCAAAGTCATGCACTGGGAGATGAAGTGTGGGGTATGAGAAATAACAAGAGTAGCAGCTTGGCTGCACTGTATAGTGAGTAATGTTTTTTGAGGCTGGGAAGATAATTTGAGGCCAGCTTGTGATGGGTCTTAAATACCAAACAAAGGAGTTTATATTTTATTTTAGTGGCAGTAGGGGCCTAAGGAATGAATGAAGGAATGAAAAACATTTATCACAGGCTTGATAAGTGTCAAGTACTATACTAATCGTGGGGGATACAAATGGATAAACCAGGAAGATGCTTCTCTCAGGAAACATACATTATAATGGAGGAGACAATATTTATAAGTGAATAGTAGCCAGCAAAAGGAGTTATGGTGTGAGGCAATGATAGCATTGTTGATTTTCATTACAGGAATACAAGCTGGTTTGTCCTGATATAGAAAAATCACTTTGGTTCTTCAATGTGCAGGGTGGATTGGAGAAGAAAGAGACAAAGTAGTTAACTATAAAAGGAAGGGAAAGCAATTGCAATAGTTGGTGGAGTGAAGAGGGATACATTAGTATACAAACTTACTCCAAATGACAGTCTCTCAAGAAATAAGGAAATGCACTATATCTTTCTTCCATTGAAGATGTGGGATTCTTTGGGTGTGGTATCTTTGTCAATTGTTTTTGCTTAACTGTTTTTCTTTCTTACAAGGCAATGATCACTGGTGGGGGAAGGGGAATATTATATCCAGAAATGGAAGTAAGGAAGAAAGAAGAGATGGAGGGAAGGAGAGAGGGGAAGAAAAAAAGAAAGAAGGAATTAGGGAGGGAGCAAAGAAAGGAAGGAAAAAAGGAAGAAAACTGTCACTTTTCTTAACTTGGTACTTACCTCCTCTCCCTTTGATTAGTACAGCATATAGTAGGCACTTAATAAAAACTTGTTGAACTAGAATTTGTACATAGAGAAATAGAAATCAAGGCTCAGAATAATATGTGCTCTAGATTGTTTTCAGGAGACAGCTTCTCTGACAAAATAACATATTTATATGACATTTATATTTGTAAGGCTTACAAAGCATATCTGCAAGATGTGAAAACATTAATGTCTTTATTTTTAAAACAAGGAAACTGAAGTTCAAAAGGGTTAAGAGACTTGTTCAACTTGTTCAATGTCATGAGGATAGAAAGAAGCTGGGTGGCTGTAAGGATCAGAAAAAGAGAAATGAGAAATTTTGAAGAGGTAAGGGGTTTTGAGAAAATATAGCAAGTTTTGTTTGGAATAGATTATATTTAAGATGACTTTGGGATATCCTGGTATAGTTTTTGTCCAGGATGTTAGGGCTGGTGCTGGATATATTGATTTGGGAATTGTCTCTAGTCAGTCAGTCAATAAAAATTTCTTAAGCACCTACTGTATGCCAGGCACTGTGCTAAGCAGTTCCCTAAGAGCCAAGGGAAGGAACTCACAGTCTAATAGAAAGAGATTATATTTCTACTAATGGGAGCTATTGAGAGGATGAAACAAAAGAATATATATTGATAGAAAAGTAGAAGGACAGAGCCTTTGTGAATTTCCACACTTCTATTTTTATCATCTACCTTTTTTATTTTCTTTTATAAATAACATTTCATTTTGTGCTTGTTTGTTTGTTTGACTGGACTTGTGATTTAATTAGTCAAGGGTTCTATATTTTCTCTGCAACTTAGTCTTATAAAGTTGTCTGGGGCACTGAAAAACTAACTAACTTGAACCAGGGTGATACACGTAGCATGTTCAGAGAAAAGAATCAGGACTTACACCTAGATCTTCCTGAATCATAGGCCAAATCTCTATCCACTATGCAATGCTAACTGTGCTTTATGTCATAGTATCTCATATCAATATCATATTATCAGGCTTTTAATGAAAAAAATTGCTATATACTATACACATAGTACAGTTATTAACTTTAAAAGCAAATCATGATGAAAGAAGGCAAAAAACAACAGGAAAGGAAAGCAATAGAAAGAGGAGGACTCTTGGAGAGAAGGAATACTGAGTTGATGAAATCAAAAGGAACTTCTGCTGAGACAACTGTTATTATTTTTTTCAATGATTTGTGACATGCATCTTTCACACTGTAGATTTTTCTCCTGGAAATAATTAATTTGTATGTTGTAGGCTGAAGAGTCTTTCTTAAAACCCCAAAAAAGTACTGAATTCTTTAATAACCGGTTGAGGAAAATGGAAAATCGTAGTAGTATTCTCCTCTCATCCTGAAAGTGTCCTGTGTACTTCCATTAGAGCAAAATGTACATAGGAAAGCATTATAGGTTTAACCACATTGACTTGTGGGAAGTATACAATGTACCAAAAATTTCTTTAATCTTCTGAGTAGAAAAGTATTAATTTTCAGCAAGGAAAGACCATTAACATAATAATTGGTTATGTTAATAATCACTTGGTTAATTTAAATAAAATTAACCAACATGTTAGTTGGGGGAGGATGTGAAAGATAATGGTTCCCCTTTTCTTCTGTGTCTGTTTTAATCATTTCTTCCTTCTTAACCTCAAATCCCAACCATCCACTTCTTAATAAGGGCAAACTACTATGAAATATTCCATTCCTCCCCTCATTTGTTACCTATTTTCTTCCAATGTCTAAAATGTAGAGTGACATGGGTAAGAGTGGGTCTGGGCATTGCATATGTGTTGCAGAGGGATGGGGTAGGAACCATTGTGATGCTTTTTTTGTTCCTTTTCTCCTCACCTCAAGATCTATTGTGACTTTCGATTACCCATAGTATGTGTTTTGATCACAGTCTCAAAGACAAAGTTTAAAGGTCATTAGATTAGAAAATGTTTGATATGAAACAGTCTTCTTGGACAACACACAAATCACAGTGCAACATGCCATGGCCACATCATCAAGCAAAAACTTGGGGTTTTTGTTTTAAATAACATTGACTGCTTTGTTTTCAGTCTCTACATCTTCCCCTCAACTTGGAGTACGTTTCCTATTTGTGCCTTACAATCAGATTATGACCTGAGATTAATAAAAATCTAGGCCTGAGTCAAGACTCCTATTGGAAGAGCTTGAAATTTAAATTATGTCAGAGTACAGGTTATACTAGAACATCTCAGGTCTTAGACCTTTTGCTTCTATCAATCATATCTTACATGCTAACAACATACCATTTTAAAGTCTTTTAGGTATTTTGAACACTGGGGACATAGCCAGTAATTCACAAAGGTAACCTGTTCCCACTTCACCCACCTCCAACTCCTATTCTCATCCAAGGTAACTAAAAACAAAAACCATGATCTTTGCTGAAGCTGATCAACCTCCATTTCAACACACACAGAGAGCTCCATTGAACTGGTCATCACAGCAAAAGCCACGACAAGCACACAGCAGCATGGAACTAACTGCACGACTCAACAGACAATGCAGACAAACTTGAGTATAAACCAAGATTGTTCTACCTCTTTTCATAACAGGTTAGTGCTGGCCCTCAGTGTTGGTGTACAGTTTTTATGGCATGGGAAAATAGGGATGTTTCTGCCCTATAAAAATAAATGTGTTGAATGCTTTAGTTTGAGCTTACATCAGGTCAGAAAGATCCAAAAAGAATCCTAAAAACAAGGACATCACCAAAACACGTGGGAGAGAATCGGAAAGTGTTGGCAGGAAAGTCACTGATTTCCTGTGTGCTTTGATGCAACATTTTCCAACATCTTTCTGTGAATAAAGAATAGAGGAATCATAATGATGGGGCATTTTAAGGGCTTGTATCCTGCTACCAAACAGCATTCATATGAAGCTTTTCCATAAGCCATTCAAAAGGTCATTCTTCCCACAAATGACAAATGTGAAAGATATAAGGAAACCAGACTCTTCTCATTTGTCTAAGTCTCAGAAAGACCAATATGAGGGGAAAACAGGATAGAAAAGTGTTCTCTTTAGAAGGGAATTGTAGACATAACTATAAGGAAAAACATAAAGGAGGCCCTCCTAGGTCTTTCCAATATTTGTTTAAAAAAGAAAGAAAAAATTGGTATTCTTCCTTTTTAATGACCTATTTCATGCTTCTTTAAGCATCCAAAGCCAAAACACACTGTCTTCCTTTTGTAGCATCTTGTCCCCACCAGGCAATGGGAGATGGAACAGAAAAGGAAGCTTAGAGGGAAGCATGAAATCCTGAATTTGTGTAACCGTAACACATTCATCTGCTGTGACATCAATAGAGCAAAGGTGAGGGGTGAAGCTGGGAGTGGAAGATACTTCATTGGACTTAGTCATCTTTAATCTGTCAGGATAAAACACTTACCACATATGCGCAAGTTTCTCAAAAGATGTTCTGCGATCCATTGAGTTGCCCAACTTACTTGGGATGTGGGAGGGGTAGATGGGAAGAGGGAAAGAGAGAAAGGCCCATAAAAGAAAGAAAGCAAAAATAAAAAGAAATAAAAGAAAAGGAAAGGAACAGAGCAGAAAAAAAAACGGATGATGAAATGCAAGGCTGCAACATAAATGTCATGTAAGAAATCAAGAGGATACTAGTAGAGAGTCACTAATGAAACACTTTTTATCCATTTTTTTCTGTAACACATAATTTAAAAAGAAGGAGATTTCCTCACATGCATTAAATTGGTGTGATTAAAGTAAAATCAGAATAGCCAAAAATGAAGTCAGTGTCTGATGCTACTACATGGTCATTCTCATGGCCTATGGACTTTTGGACTATGGTTAGCTGCTGTCTAGAAGTGTTCAATACTTTGCCATCAAAACCATCTCCGATGGTCATCTACGGTATTTATGTATGGAATTTGTTCTCAGTTGTACAAGTAACCCTGCTTTAGATGACCTCATAGAAAATATTATCTTCATGGCAGATGGTACAAAAGATTTCAGAATTTCCTCTTTAATATTTAAAAACTGAAAGGTAGTATGATATTCCTAGTCCAATTCATAACCTGGCCTAATTTTTCCATCGATTTAAAGAGAGCTGTTGTCATTAGGACTTTGAGAATGAATATCTGATTTGAATGATTCTAAGATGGTTTAATTCAACTTTGCTCAACATGTATGTGTCTCTCTGCTAGTATGTTTATACTCTTTCAGACATTGTAAACACTTGGGGCATAGTAGTAACTGAACTGGGCAAAAATCTGGCCAAAAATATTTCATAAGAAGGGTTGCTAAATTTGAGGTGATAATAAATGGGGGGAACTTCCCAGTCCATTTTAAGTAATATGATCTGTGCCCAAAGAAATAATGTACCAATTTAATGAAAGAAAGAGCCTTTCAAAGGAAGACATCAAAATAATTATTTTATCTCCCTCTGATAAGCAGCTCTTCATTTTTTCCCTCAAATTATATAGAGGATTCATATAAAATAAAAAATATATATAATAAAATTTGGGATGTATGAATACATGCAGCGAAGGAAAGAAAAGAAAAGGAAAGAAGAAAAAAAAAAGAACTCATTTGACACTGGAAAAATGGAAAAGGCTTTCTTGGCAAGGAGCCTGTCTACCTACCAGACATCTAGCAGCATGGCCCCTGCAGACGAGACTGAACTAATTATTACCAAAAGCTATGGAAATTAAAAAAAAAAGGTAAGAAAGACCAATACCTTTTTCTTTGCCTGTAGCAGCTCCTGGTAGGCACTGGATCGAATGAAACGTGGGTAGGAATCACTTTTCATCAATTTGTAAATGTGCTCCTAAAAGGAAAGAATAGCTTAGATGCTATCTTTATGGATGTTTTAGAAAATCTAAAATGAGGAGAGTAAAGAAGAATAAATACACCACATGTCATCCAGGCACTAGGAGGAAGGATGAGACAGATCTGATGTAGACTAGATATGATAACAATTAAAATAATATCAATGGAAATAATAATGGAGATGATGATGATAAATTCCTTATATTTCTAGTATGTCATAGTATTTTACATATAGCATCTTATCAATGAATTATTTTGTGAAATGGCCCAGGTAGATATGGAGAATGTAAATTTGATTTAGTCATTTCCAGAACAGAATGTAGTGCAAGGTATCTGACATAGCTGTTTTGATACCAATGATTTTGTGACAAATAATTCTGAAGATAAACCTAGTTGTACCATGTGCCAAAATATCAAAGAGAGTTTAAGAAATCATGCAGATCACATGCATCCAATTTGAATAACTCTGGTCCTAAGATTTACTCTGGGCCCCAGAATATCCAGCTTGTTGCTGTCTACATTGTTCAGTAGAATGGAAACTCCTTGAGGACAGGGGTCTATTTTGTCTTCTATCTTTTATTCCCAATATCTAGTACAATGCCTTATATAAAGCAGGCACTTAATTAGTTCTGATTGGATTGAACAGACTCAATTACCTGGAAAGTTGTTTAGGATGCTTTGTCCCAAAGGCAAATCCCCAGACCTATTCTGAAGATTTTTCAGCTAAATCTTCACCTTTTTTTTGGTCTGTAGATCCCAGGACTTTACAAATTCTGATTACAAGGAAGGAAGCATTAAAGGAAGGAAGGAAGGAAGGAAGGAAGGAAGGAAGGAAGGAAGGAAGGAAGGAAGGAAGGAAGGAAGGAAGGAAGGAAGGAAGGGAGGGAGAGAGGGGCAGAGCCAAGATGGTGGAGTAAAAGCACTGACTTCGCTTTAGCTCTCCCCCAAACCCCTCCAAATACTGTATAAAATGGTTCTAAACAAATTCTAAAGCAGCAGAACCCACAGAAAGACACAGTGAAACAAATTTACAGCCTGGGACAGCCTGGATGGTTGATCAGAAAGTATATCCTGCCGGGCTGGGAGAGGAGCGTAGTTTGATGTGGGTGTGCAGGCAAGGCAGGCCTTGGTGAACCTGGAGGAGGCCTCAGAGGACTGAATCACTGGCAGCTGTTGAGGTTTCCAGACTTCTCAACCCAAGAACGCCAAAGACAACTTAGGAGGTCAGTGGGAAAAGTCTGTGTCTGGATGAGAGAGAGAAATGTGGTCCCAGCCCCAGTCTCTGAGCTCAGCCCGGGGCAGCGGCTGCTTCTGGAGCTTCTGGCCCACAGACTGAGGGGGAATCAAGTGGCTAACCAGAGAGGGAATTGCAGGGATCTCTCTGCTGGTGCAGTATTCTCTTGCTTTCCCTGTGCTTAGATCTGGGTCCCAGTTCTGGGGTAAGGTGGAGTGCTGGCTTGGTGGAGCTTGTAGTGGTGGTGCCTAAGAAATTCTCCTCACAGTTTCAAGGCAGAAAAGAGTGCTTGTGGTCACTCACAGACCAGAGCACAGTCCAGAAAAGGAGTAAACACCTTGCCCCTTATCATACCACCTTGAAGAACTGAAAATTTACAGATTCCTAAAAGTATCTCTGAAAACAGCTGCACAAAACCCCTGAAGCTTGGGACAGTACATGCTCCACACTGAAAGCAGACCCCTACCTTAACAAAGAGTTTAAAACTCAAGTAATTGGCTGGGATCATGAATAAACAAAGGTCCAAAAAAAGTCAGACCATAGAATCTTTCTTTGGTGACAAAGGTCAAAACATACAACCAGAAGAAGACAACAAAGTCAAAGCTCCCACATCCAAAGCCTCCAAGAAAAATATGAATCAGTCCCAGGCCATGGAAGAGCTCAAAAAAGATTTTGAGAAACAAGTAAGAGAAGTAGAGGAAAAACTTGGAAGACAAATGAAAGTGATGCAAGAAAATCATGAAAAACAAGTTAAGAGCTTGCTAAAGGAGACCCCAAAAAATACTGAGGAAAATAACACCTTAAAAAACAGCCTAATCCAAATGGCAGAAGATGTCCAAAAAGCCAATGAGGAGAAGAATGCCCTAAAAAGCAAAATTGGCCAAATGGAAAAGGAAGTCCAAAAGATTACTGAAGAAAATACTTTCTTAAAAATTAGAATGGAGCAATTGAAAGCTAGTGACTTTATGAGAAATCAAGACACTGTAAAACAAATCCAAAAGAATGAAAAAATAGAAAACAATGTGAAATACCTCACTGGAAAAACAACTGACCTGGAAAATAGATCCAGGAGAGAGAATTCAAAAATTATTGGACTACCTGAAAGCCATGATCAAAAAAAGAGCCTAGACATCACTTTTCAAGAAATTATCAAGGAAAACTGCCCTGATATTTTAGAACCAAAGAGCAAAAGAGAATCCACCGATCACCTCCTGAAAGAGACCCCCAAAGGAAAACTCCTAGGAATATTGTAGCCAAATTCCAGAGTTTCCAGGTCAAGGAGAAAATATTGCAAGCAGCCAGAAAGAAACAATTCAAGTATTATGTAAACACAATGAGGATAACACAAGATTTAGCAGCTTCTACATTAAGGGACCAGAGGGCATGGAATATAATATTCCAGAGGGCAAAGGAGATAGGATTGCAACCAGCAAAACTGAGTATAATCCTTCAGGGGAAAAAATGGTCATTCAGTGAAATAGGGGACTTTCAAGCATTTTTGATGAAAAGACCAGAGCTGAATAGAAAATTTGACTTTCAAATAAAAGACTCAAGTGAAACATGAAGAGGTAAACAGGAAAGAGAAATCATAAGAGACTTAATAAGGTTGAGCTGTTTACATTCCTGCATGGGAAGATGATATCTGTAACTCATGAGACCTTTGTCAGTATTAGGGTAGTTGGAGAGAAAAAAATTATATGTATGTATGTATGTATAGAGAGATAGATAGAGGGCACAGGATGAGTTGAAGATGAAGGGGTAATATCTGGAGAATAAAATTAAGGGGTGAGAGAGGATTATACTGGGAGAAGGAGAAAGGGAGAGGTAGAATGGGGTAAATTATCTCACATGAAACAGATAAGAAAAGGCTTTTACAGTGGAAGAGAAATGGGGGAATGTGAGAGGGAATGAGTGAATCTTATTTTCATCAGATTTGGCTTAAGGAGAGAATAACATACACATTCAATTGGGTATGGAAACCTCTTACCCTTCAGGAAAATAGAGGGGAAAGGGGACAAGAAACCAGGGGGATGATAGAGGGGAGAGCAGATGGGGGAGGGGTAATCAGAAGCAAACACTTCTGAGGAGGGACAGGGTCAAAAGAGAGAATACAATAAGTGGGGGTGGGATAGGATGAAGGAAAGTATACTTAGTTTTTCACATGACTATTGTGGAAGTGTTTTGCACTACTACACATGTATAACCTGTATTGAGTTGCTTGCCTTTTCAATGAGGGTGGGTGGGGAGGGAGGAAGGGAGAAAATTTGGAACCCATAGTTTTAAAAACACATGTTAAAAAAATTGTTTTCACATGTAACTGGGAAATAAGAAATACAGGAAATGGGGTATAGAAATCTATCCTGCCCTACAGGAAAATAGAAGGAGAAGGGGATATGAGAAGGGGGGGATAGAAGAGAGGGCAGATTAGGGGAAGGGGTATACAGAATGCATGCCATCTTGGGGTGGGGAGAGGGATGAGATGGAGGGAAAATTTGGAACTCAAAATCTTGTGGAAGTGAATGTTGAAAACTAAAAAAATAAATAAATTTAAAAAGAAAATGAGAAGAAAATCAGAAAAAAAAAGTGAGGGAGAAACCTGGGCATACAAACTCCTTTTAGCCTAGACTGGAAAATGTCTAGGTGTCCTAGGTCTCAAGCCTTACACTAAAATGTACAAGTTTTTAGGGGAGCCCCAAAATTTATCTAGTGCTAAGCCTGTTCTCCCTCAGACTAATAATGACTTGAGATTAGGGCGAACTTACTCGTGGTTCACCCAGTGGGAACATACCCCTCAGGGGAACTTCATGAGGACTCCACAAAAGGAGAAAAGGACTTCTATCCATTCAGGAGTTAAGCATTTCCCCCTTGCCACACATATTCTACAAGCTTGAGCCTGTTTTGCCATGGACTTGGTGATGTACAACTCTGTTGTTGTTATTGTGTCATTTCAGTTGTGTCTTACTCCTCATGACCCTTTTTAGGGATTTTCTTGGCAAAGATACTAGAGTGGTTTGCCATTTCCTTCTCCAGCTCATTTTACAGATGAGGAACTGAGGCAAACAGGATTAAGTGACTTGCCCACAGTCACACAGCTATGACTTACGTGTCTGAGGACAGATTTGAACTCATGAAGATGAGTCTTCCTGATTCCAAGCCAAGTGCTCTGCACACTATGGCACCACCTAGCTGCCAATTAACTCTAGCTGACCAATTTACATTGCCTGGATATTCAATGAGGAACAGGCAGGTGGGGGCTTCTGAACCATAGTTCTAGAAACTACTTCTAACCCCTCAGAGTTTCTTTTTGAACCTAGAGAAGAGAAATTGTTGGTTACTCTCTAGGGATCCAATCTGACAGTTTGAGTGGGGATTAGGAGAGTGACACCAGAGGAGGTACTATATCAGGGATGAGACAGAACTGGATCAGATGTTGAAGTATTAATATGGAGTTCAGTAGGAAGAGTTGTTTCTCTTGCTGCTGATTTAAGAAAAGAAATGTGTGTGTGTGTGTGTGTGTGTATAAATATATGTATTTTTCTCTTTGTATGAATCTCTATTTATAATCGGTATTGGTGTGGGAAATTTAATCACCTATATTTCCCTACACCAGTGCAATCACAGAGCCAGACTAACATATACATGCATACATACACACGTATATATATTATATATACGTGTGTGTGTGTGTGTGTGTGTGTGTGTGTGTGTATTTCATTGGTATAAGGAACTGTAAGTGAAGAACCTTTTTATACCGATGAAGAACAACAAATAGTCCACAACTCATAGACTTTGGACACTGCTTTGGGCCCTCAGAAGTTAAGTGACTTTCCTGTGATCAAATGGTCCAGCTGTATCACTGGGGCACTTGAATCCAGGTCTTCTTAACTTCAAGGCTAATTATCTATATACTATGCAAAACTGCTCAAATACAGCTAGCTCAATTAAAAAAAAAAGCAATCCAGTGACAGGTGGTATCATGTTCTTTGGGAAAATGCTCATAATATTTTTGCTGAACTTCATATAATCAAGCTGACTTTCACTGATCCAGAAAAGGAAGAAACATTTCCAGACTTTAGAGAGGTATTTCCTACCCGTCTGACAAATTACTACCTCCATAAAGCAAAGCTGCAAAACAATGAAATTTCACCCTGAATTGCTGGAAGAAAACAAATCAGCACTGGAATGGGCATCTGTGTCAGTATTTGTACACTGTTTTCTCACGCATATCTTTATCTCATTCAATTGTTTCCATATGGGAGAACATGATAGAACCATTGAAGTTGAGATTGTGGCTTAGTCATTTAAATATGTGTTACTTTTTTACCTCCACTGCCTCTGTTTCCTCAATCCAGAAGTGAGAGAGAAAATTGAATACTGACAGCATACCATAAAGAGAGCGAGATCTTTCCATGAGTACGGCCTTAATTAATCTTAGGATTTAATTTAGAAAAAAGTGATATGTGGATCAGAGGTTCTTTTTGTAGGTGTTATACTCTGGTAAAACAGCTTGAAAACTTATCATATATGTAAGTTTAAACATTAAAACTGATAACCCTTAAGGGAGCATTTTTCTTAAAAAGTTTTTTTTTCTTTTTTTCTGAAATACCATTATTTAATGGTGAGGGCATGGGAAGAAACAAACTAAAGTAGTTTCTGTACATGACATTGCATGGAATTGTGACTTAGAAATCCCAGTTCTACCAAGAACTAATTTGCCTGATCAAGGCACTTTACTTCTCTGCCTCAGTTTCCCTATATATAAAATTAGGGGGTGGGACCTAATGATTTCTCAAGTCACTTGACAAGACTTTTGATTACCCTGAAAAAAAAAAAGACTGTTGGACATTTCTACTGGGAAGAAAAGCAGAATTTCCTTCTTTTCCTCTCTCTTCCTTGCTTTTACATGTATGAATGAAAAGATTTTTGGAAATGTGAGCCAAGACCCTCCTTTTTCAATTGTAGTTCCAGAGATAGTTAGATTGGGCTTGACATAGCAAATGAGATAGTTAGATTGGGCTTGACATAGCAAATGAGCTCTATTAAATGTAATTATTTGTAATAACATACATTTCCAAGAAGATATTCAGATACTAAAGTAGGGTCTCTTTCTAGTTATCTATTTATTCTCCTACCAGGATAATATAGAGAAGGGAAAACAGGTACCTAGTAATCTTCTTCTTTCCCTGACCTGTTGCCCTACAGGATACAATAGAGGTGCCAAACTCAGACCCTGCCTCGAGTGGCCTACAGAACTGCCTGGTGTAGCCAACCAGGTTAAAATGTCATTAGAAAATGTTTAAGAAAAATAAATAAAAATACAACACAAATAATGTGAATTTGTGATTTTCTAAGTCAATATCTGGCCCTCACACTGGCATCCAACATTCCTTTTCCTGCCATTATGTAGGAGAGCACAGGTTCTTCCCTCAGCCTTAAATCTTCCTCTGCCTCTTGAAAACTGGAGCTTCTCTCATGAATCTGTTCAAATGCTATGTGCTAACATGAGGCTTTTCCCAATCCTACCAGGGGAGCAAGCTTTCCAGCCTCCCAAAATACTTTGCATTTATTTTGTAAATATTTTCTATTTATTGACCTGTGTGTGTGTTCTTTCCTTTTAGCATAATGTAAGCCTATTGAGGGCAGGGGCTGTTTCTATTTTATCTTTGTATTTCCACTTCTTAGCAGAGATGCTGGCACATAATAGGTGCTTAATAAGTACTTGTTGAATTGATAAACAAAAATTAAGACTTAGATTGAATCCATCAACAAGCTTCCTTCTTCTTAACCTCTCCTTAGCGTTTGTCAAGTCCTGGCTATTTTACATTCCTAAAATCTTTTCTATATACCCCCTTTTGTCCTCTAACGTTGCCACCACCCTGGTGCAAACCCTCATCATCTTACATCTAGACATTTTCAGTAGCTTTCCATCTCAATTCTCACCCCATTCCAGTTCATTCTTCATTTACCTGTCAAACTGACCTTCCTAAAACTCAAACATATCACTCCCTATTTTATAAAGTATGGTGGCTCCCTGTTGCTGTAAGGATCAAATAGAAAATCCTGTTTGGTTTTTAAAGCACTTCAGATATTACCTTGCCCCTTTCTACTTTTTCAGTCTTATTACACCTTACTTACTTCCACATGAGATCCAGTGATACCAGCATCCTTGCTGTTCCTCACAGAAGGCTCTCCATTTTTTAACTCCATGTATTTATATACTGGCTGTCTCCCATTCCAGGCCTGGAATTCTCTCTCTTCTCTCTCTGTCTCCCACCTTTCTTCAAATTTCAGCTAAAATTCCACCTTCTTCAAGAAGTTTTTCCTGATCCTTCTTAATCCTTCCCTCTGTGATTATCTCCAATTTATCCGGTACATATCTCATTTATACGTAGACTGGACTTCTTAAGACTAGGTACTATATATATTTTTAGCCTTTCTTTTTTGTTTATTTTATTTTATTTTTGTATCCTTAGCACTTAGCACAGTGCTTTGCATATAGCAGATTCTTAATAAATGTTTGTTGTGTTGTTGACTTGATTATGTGCTAGGTACTTGGGATACAAACAAAAAAAATACACACACACACACACACACAAAACCCAATTCCTGCCTCCAAGGGGCTTATAGTCTATGAAGAAGTAAAGACAGATAGATAGAATTAAAGATAAAATAGAGAAGAGAGGAGAAAGAAACAAATTAAATACTAGGTAATAAGGGGAAGGACTAGCAGCTGAAGTGATGATTGAGAGAGAGTCAGGAAAGGCCTGTAGTAAGAGATGGCACAGCAGCCTAGCTCAGAAACTCAAAACTACTAATTTACAAATAGCTAAATTAGGGAGGAAGTATCTACACCCACTTTATAAAAGAATGGTCTGCTTCACAAAAGATTACACCTGGGAAAAGATTCCATCCTTCAGTAATTTCTCCTAAGACACTTCAGTTTCATTACCTACAAAACCTAAAAGACTTAACAGACATTGAGAGCCAAAATGACAGGAACTGCTATCAAATGAAGATGGATGGGGGCTGGGGGGTTGGCTCTTGAAATGATGTCAATAAGGAAAGGTAATTGATTGCCTCCCATACATTCAGACAAAGCTCCCTAAAGCTAAGTCCTCTTGCTACTGACCTGAGCATCTTCAAATGTGTACCGTCCTGGCTCCTTCACATTTTGTGTGGTTTTGTCATAGCTTTTGGAATCCAAATTAATGGCACTGGGAGCACCTGGAGCCAGAAATTCCTGCCATATTTCCTGGACTCTGGTGGGGACTTCCCGAATAGTTCGTTTCTTCAAGTCTTCCACTGCCAGCCAGAACCTATTGGAAATGAAACAGTAGGCATTTACTTACTAGCTGATTTCTGAAAATCCTTAATGTGCTACTTAGCCATGACACAAACAGCAAGAAACAAAATTCTCGGTTTCTCTTCTTTCATGATATCAGAACCATCTGTTGTTCCTTCCCCCCCCCCCCGCCCCAAAAAGCTTCAGAAGGTTAAGGAAGCATAGGTAGGAAGAATACTTTTTTCTTTGTAGTTTGTAAGAACAGCATATAACTGCTCAAAAATGACTTTATTATGCTTTACGAGTTGAAAGGGAATGAAAACAACAAAAAAATGCCCATGCTCAAAGCACTTCTGACAGAGGCCTGCCTCAAGCACAAGGCTCCAGGGCTTAGCAAAGGAATAACAGGACACCAGGGAACCATTCATCGGAAACGATGGGGGTAGTGAATACTGCTAAGGGCAAGCAGTACACAAGCACTGTGCCTGGGAAACCCAGAGGACTGAAGGGCAAAGGGGCAGACCATAGCACATGATTTCCTGTTCCTTAGGATCTTACCTGTTTAAGTCAGAAAGGGAGTGGCTATGGAGAGATTTTTTTATTCTCCCTAGGCCAGGAAATTACCAAGCACATGAATGGTCATGATGTTAAAAGTTCAAGACCAAGGATTACATAAGGTCCTAGCCAGAGTGATTGCTGGATTATAAATTGTCCTATGTGACAGGAAGTGAAGGACTGATATAGGAAGCTTCTACTAAGTCAAGGTTTGAAAGGCTAAAAGCATTGCAGACTTCTGAGCAAGACTGATTGTAAGATAAGATTTAAGAGCTTGTAATTTGAACTGAAAAGAAGAGCAGGTAGACCAGGGGTGGGGAACCTGCCGCCTCTAGGCCCTCAACTGCAGCCGCCTCTAGGCCCTCAACTGCAGCCCTTTGACTGAATCCAATTTGTTCTGTGAAATTTGGATTCAGTCAAAGGACCACACTTGAGGACCTACAGGGCCACAGGTGGGCTGGAGGCTGCAGGTTCCCCACCCCTGAATTAGACCAAGTAGTTGCTGAAAACTTAGGAGAAAAGAATCCGGGAGTGGATAGAGGACTATACTGGAAGGAAGCCAGGAAGAGCTGGGTTGGAATCCTGACTCTAACGTTGGCTTTGTAACTCCTGGGCAATTCATTAAACCTCTCTGAGCCTCAGTTTCCCTGCCTTTAAAACTGAATAATAATATTTTTAGTGTTGAGCTTATAGAGTCATAAGACTTAGATAAGATAACATATAATAGTTGAGTGGTATATTTCTTTAATTTTTTCCCTTAATAATAGCCTACTAAATATTTATGTAGCACTTAAAGATTTTATATATACATATACACATGTATATATGCATATATATGTATACCCACACACATATGTGTATATGTGTGTATGCATATATACGTATTGATGTAGATATAAATTGCTTTTCATAACAATCCTCTGAAGCAGGTGCTCTTATTGACCCTCATTTTTACAGGTGAGGACACTGAGGCTCAGAGGGGTTAAGTGAGTTTCTCAGTAAATGTGGGAGGCTGTATTCCAATCCACATTTTCCTGACTCCAAGTCCAGTGTGTTATTCACAAGGCTAATATTATGCTGCTTCTCTTATGTCTTCAATTGTGCAAAATAGTTATATGGAACATTTAAGTAGTTTTGCTGTCATTTTAATAAGAGTTTATTTTTATATAGAAAGCTTTTGTGAGGAAATGTGTGCTTTATCCCACCTCTTCTCCTTATCCATTTTTAGATTAAATCTAAAAGCTAGATCTACTCTCTTGGATTTTGAGAAGACAGACCAGTACCTCCTTTGGGGAGTGGGGGAGAGAGGGCAGAGAAAACTGTGGTTCTGCACAGTTTCTTCTCTCCAGGAGCAGTTGATGGTGACTTGTAGTAGAAGCACATGGTGGAAGTAGAAATGTGTTCAGTTGTGGCCCAGGAAGTTAGTTTATTGACAGTGTTCATGAATAGCAACATTTATGTGGAGGAAGAGGGATTTAGAGTTCCCTGTGCAGTATGATCCAGAAATCTACGCATTTAGTCAGAAAAGGGAAATTCTTGGGGAGCATCAGTATTGGAAGTTGATTCAGGGGAACTCCAAGTCTGAGAATTTCTAGCTTCTTTTCCAGAGGAGGAAGTTTTCTGTTGTAGTGTGTGCTTTGGTGACAGAAGATAGTCCGTACAATTTCTGTCGTTTCCTATTTGGAAAGAGCAGGTGTTGAGTTACTTGAGCAATGCAAATCTGATGGGAAAGGGATTGCTTATTCAGCAGCTCTTAAAGTTTACCTTTGGGGAAGGTGGTATAAACCACAAAGTAAGTCTACTTCAGTGATTGTAATGTCTCATATGACTGGTAGCAATAAAGAATATTGATGTTTTTAAAAATGCAATTCTGTCTCAATAAGCTTGGTTAAAAGAATTGTGCAATTTCCCTGCTCTCTCTCCACCTCCTGTTTAATTCTGGGCCCAGGTCATTGTCCATCTGCAGCATCTGTCCCAGATATATTTATACTGGTGATTGCCCTCTAAAGGTTGTTAATCCAAATCATATCACAGTTTTCTATGGTAACCCATAAAAATTAAATGCTTTAAATTTAAAAACAAAAATGTTTAAATGAAAAAGTGATGAACTGAGACAATCCCCCAAACAGTGGTTTATATGAAAAATGGGTAATATATACATTGTTATAAAGTAAAATAATGTAAACTATTACATCAAATAAAATTGTATCAGGTATCCTGAAGGTCATCTCAGAATGAGCTGAAGTTGTTGAGAAAAGCTAAGACCAACAAAAGGAGTCTGTTCTATTGGGGGAAAAAGAAGGATCAAAGGAGGGTTAAGACTAGGAGTGAATGAAACAATGATAGCTGATGATGGAGAGAAGGCATAGGTACTCTGTGTGTGTGTGTGTGTGTGTGTGTGTGTGTGTGTGTACACACAGAGTTGTGTACTTGTTGACGTTCATGCTCAAAGAAGACCAAAATGATATCACTAAGACATCGCAGTGTGTCCCACTGTGGCTAATCAGACCAATAGGAGCTCAGAATGCTCTACCACAGGTTGGGCACAAATAGTCCATATGAACATTTGGAAAGGACATGTCTCTAAATTTGTGCATCTCTCATCTCACATTTCTTTTGAGCTACTGAAATTCTGCTTTGCTCATAGAACACATTGCCTTCTTTGATATGGGCATGTCATGCTGGCCAGTCCTGTGCCAGTGTATCCTACATCTCACAATCCATTCCAGAGTTCTTTGGAGAGACCTTAAGAGTATCCTTGTATCATTTTTCCTGACCTCTGTGTGAGTGCTTGCCAAGGTAAGTGAAGTAATCCACAGCATTCAAACTTTTTCCATTTGCTATAACCGATGATTTTACATATGAAAGGTATGGTGCAGGTTAGTGATGAACTTCTGTTTTCTTGGCCTTAATTTTCAGGCCAAAATTAGCACAGGTAGCAGAGAATCAATTCATATTTTGTTAGATCTCAGCCTCAGAGGTTGCATTGAATACATAGTCATCTGCAAACGGAAAGTTGCCCACCAACTCTTCCTCCACTTTTGTCTTGGCTTGTAGCCTTTTCAAGTTAAATAATTTACCATCAGTGCAGTAGCTGACCTTGATGCCATTTTCATCCTCATTGAAGGCATCTGACAGTACCACTGAAAACATCATGCTAAAAAGGATGGGAGCAAGTACACAGCCCAGCTTCATTCCATGCGTCATCCATTATTCAGAACCTTGTAAACATGCCATCATGGAACTGGTGTACAATACTGATAAACTTCTGCAGACTGTCAGATTTTGCCATGATCTTCCACAAGTCCTCCACAAAACCCTTGGTCAGATCGACTCACACCAACTACAAATCTGTGTTCTGCTCCTGGCATTTCTCTTGGAGTTGTCAGGCAGCAAACACCATATTGACTGTTCCTTGGCCCTTTCTGAAGCAACACTGGCTCTTGGGTAGATGGCCATTCTTCCAAGGAAAGGATTAGCCTATTAAGGAGGATTTTGGCAAGAATCTTGCCAACAGTGACTAAGAGAGAGATCCTTCATGATTGTCACAGGACAATCTGTTTTCTTTTCTTTTATAGAGATGAACAATCCAGGCACCCTTGAACTCATGGGGATAGCCTTCTCTTGCCATATAACATAGAAGATTTTGGTCAGCTTTTGTATGAGCAGTGGACCCCCTGCCTTGTAAATCTCAGCTAGAATAGAATCAGCACCAGGTGCTTTGCCACATGAGAGGAGCCTAATAGCATTCAAAACCTCTGCTTCATTTGGAAGTTCAGCTGGAGAGGGATTGACGTCAACCTGTGCTATATGCTGAATGGCTTCAGCATTGATTGATGACAGTCTGTTGAAAATGCTATGGAAGGGTTAAGCTCATCTCTCTAGGATCATGTCCTTATCACTAATCATATGTATATATATGTGTGTGTGTGTATATGTGTGTGTGTGTGTGTGTGTGTGTGTGTACACACAATTTTATGTATTATTCATTGCTAAGGAGAATGACATTTGGAATAGAAATGAAAGAACATTATTGTGTAACAGGAAGTTGATCCCTAGGACAAGAAAGGAGAGAGTAAGAGAGTACCTAGTTTACCTTGAAAAATTCAAGTCAACTGACCAGGATTAATTAGTCTTGGGTATTGAAAAAACCAACAGATATGACTAAGCCACTGTCCCTAAAAGACCATGGAAAACAGAAAAGAATTGGAGGATTGGAACAGGGTGAATATTGTTCCAATTGTCAAAAAAAAAAAGAGGAGAGAATAGAATCTATAAACTTTATAGATCTTAACTTTCATTTCAAGAAAAAATTTAGAATGGATCATTAGAAAGTTGATTAGTGAACATCTAGTAAAGGAAGTAGTGTTTACAAAAAGCCAATATGAAGCATGAACGGATAGAGCATGCTAAAACTAAACATTCCTTTTTTGACAGTGTTGCTAAACTCATAAATTTGGTAAATGATGTAGGTTTAGCTTAGTTGAATTTTAGCAAATAATAGGATAAAGTATTTCTATTCTCATGGAAAAGATGGAGTGATATGGATTACATGGTAAAACAATTAGGATTTAGGAATGGAAGAATGGTCAGACTTAAAAGAGTAGTTAGTAGTGTTCAGTGTCAAATTGATATCTATGTTTGGCTAGATTGATTTAACCTTTTTTATCAGTATCAAAATGACAAAAATATACATGGAATCTTCATCAAATTTGTAAATGGCACAAAACTAAGAGACATAGCTAACAGAGAATAACAGTCAGAATCTAAAAAAATTGTGAGAGACTAGACAAATTTGCTAAATCCAAAAAAGATGAAATTCAAAATAGATTTGTATAACATCTTATAATTGAGTTAAAAAAATTAACCTCACAAGTAGAAGATGGAGAGGCAACAGTATCTGGAAAAGATAAAGGTCGTTCTTCCTGGCTCCTGACTATATGTTTTTTTTACCTCTTCTTCAATAGTCTTTTCAGTACGGAGATGCCTCTGCCCTGCTAGCCCCTTTCTTTGATTGCCAAATTCTTGCCAAGGACTACCAATTAAGAAGTACCTGGGCTATCCATGCTTACTTCTTGCTCAGCTCCATTCTTGACTCTCCAGAATTTTTACCTTGCCCCTCACAGATATGCTGCCTTTATATGTTGTCTTCCCCATTAGAATGTAAGCTTCTTGTGGACAGGCAATGGCTTTTTCATTTTATTTTTATTTGCTTTTATTTATATTCTCAGTGCTTAGCACAGTGCCTGGCCCACTGTACGTGCTAAAAATGTTCTCTCTCTGTCTCTGTCCATCTTTGCCTCTGTGTGTGTGTGTGTGTGTGTGTGTGTGTGTGTGTGTCTTTCTGTCTCTGTCTCTCTCTGAGTCTCTGTCTCTCTGTCTCTCTCTCTGTCTCTTCCTGTCTCTCTGTCTCTCTTTATCTGAATGGACTACAAGCTCAATATAAATCAGCAGTGTGATATGGCAGCCATCAAAGCTCATCAGATCTTGGGCTATTTCCAGGAACAAGGAAGTAATAGTCCCTCTGTACTTGACTTTGGTCAGACTATATCTAGGGCATTGTATCCATTTCTGAGTGCCCCAGTTTAGAAGGAACATTAGTATAGTGGAAATCTCCATAGGAATGCAATTAGAATGACAAAGGATGTTGATTTCATCTCCAGTGAGGATCTTTTGAAGGAATTGACATATTTAACCTGGATATAAGAAGGAGGGTACAAATAATTGCTGTCTTCAAGTATTTGAATGGCTTTCAAGTGGAATAGAGATTAGATTTATTCTTTTTGGCCCTCCTGGCAGAACAAATATCAATGGCTGGAAGTTGTAAATTAGTAAATTTAGGCTTGATGTAAGGAAGAAACTTACTGAAAATCATTTCTGTGCAAAAGTAGAAGGGGTTGCCTCATCTTATTGGGTTCTTCATGTTGGAAGTCCTCAAACAGAGGGTGGATGACTGACTATGTGTCTGGTACATTATGGTAGTCATTCTTTTAAGGTATTGGTTGGATAAGTGGCCACTAAATTCACTTCCAACTTTGAAATGCTCAGATTTTTGTGTTATTAATTAAAAAGCACATATTGGTAACAAACTTCACTAAGTTGTTTGTAAGTTTCTTAGAATCAGAAAAAATATATATAAAATTAGCCTGTGATTTTGTTACTATTAGTAGTAAGCACATAAATAATTTAAAATGATTTACTGTGAAGGCTTAGTTTAAGTTTTAATTAAAATGAATTGTTCTGCTATTGCAAAACAAAAAATTGTAAACCATTGCTTCATGGTTACAGTTATTCCTGATCTTCACTGAAATTTTAATGGAGATAAGCATAGTCTTCCTTCCCTAAAATCTGGAACCCTTCATCATTTAATATCTCTCCCTCCCCCTTTCTCTCTCCTACTCCCTCTGTCTTCTTTCTCTCCTCTCTCTGTCTCTGTCTTTGTCTCTCTCTTCTCTCTGTGTCTCTCTTTTCTCTTTTTCTGCCTCTGTCTGTCTCTTTGTTTCTCTCTCTCTCTCTCTCTCTCTCTAATATTTACTAAGCATTTACTATGTGCCAGGAATTGTGCTCTGGGGATACAAATATGTGAGAAATGATTATTTTCTCTCTTGTTTTTAATAACTAGTAATTGAATCAGGACCAAAGTTTTTCCCCTTTTCTACTTCCTCATGCAGAAACCAACCAGCGTGAGAAATCTCTCTTAAAGATTTCCCAGGGCCAAGCTCTAATTAGATAATAAAAGAAATTCTAAGTTTGGGCTAATGGGCATATTCCTGCTCATGATATTTGCTCAGACAGGTCTGGGGAATTATTGATTCTCCCTTTTGTCAAGACAAGTGATATGGAAATTAATGTCTCTTTGACCAATATTTGGGTGACCCAAGTTGTGTACCCCAAGACCCTCATTTTAATATAGCCTACTTCCCATTATGTTAACCAATCAGAATTGATTGGTACTCCTCAAGAACACCTCTTTGAAGGGTATATAAACTGTGAGCCCACTGCCATGAGGGGTCTTTGTTCTAAGAGAGATGGCCAAATAATCATCCTTTTATTAATAAATGTATTGGCCTTATTAAGAAAATAATCAAATTACCCAGAAACGATGTCTCTCAGAATTTTTTAATCATCACAAATACAAGAAAAAAAGTGAGTTCATATTTTCCAAGAGCTTGTATTCTAATAGAGGAAGACAAAAGATAAAGTAGAGCTGGAAAGCTGGAGGGGAATGTAGTGCAAAATTTCTGGTGAGGAGTCAGAACAAGTTAGGAGAATGAGTTTAGCTGAGAGATGAAGTGAACATGGCTAGAGCTCCTTGTGAAATGGTGATCCTGGCCCAAGTTTCTTCAAAAAGGAAAGTAGGCACTGGGAGGCAGCATCACCCAAAACCTCTATTTCCCACGTACTCATGAGTTTCCTTTACCTTTAATCACCTCGAGACACAAACACACATACACATACTTCTTGCAGGTAGACCTAAGAGATACTGGTAAGACTGGTCAATCAAGGGAAATTAATTTGCATATCTAGGAAGCTACAAATTAGTTTTCTGTCTCTACTTCACAGAGAAAAGTCATCTTAGACCATTCCCTGACAGTCTCAAACACTTATTTTGTGAAAGACCCAAACAGAAGATTCCTTCGTTTTGATCTACCATGAAGCTCATATAGAGTGTGAAACTGCATGGCAGATACAGATTTCTGATTACCATTCTTAGGGTGTGTTTGAGGTTACCCTGGACAGTCTGTGGAATGTTAGGTATGTCCACTCAAAGACAGAGGGTGATTTTGGGCCATGGTATAAATGAGGAAACAGAATTTTTATTCCTGAATGACTTGAATATTCTTCATATGAGGATCTGTAAAATCTTCTTACAGAAGTTATGACTATGCCAGTGATTGCTTAATTCCACTGAAAAAAGAAAAAATCCATAGAGCTTCTAAAAGAGGGAATTTCAATTTCACAAGAATACTTAAGTCTGTAAAAAGTTAAAGGACATATCAAGTTTCCAGAGAAAAATAGTGGAGAAACTTAAAAATTGCATTTTAACGTGCTAGAAAGTCAGGACTCATGTTAATGGTCTTAAAACTGTCAAAGAACATAGTGGTGACTCAGAGTAAAACTACAATTCATTTCCAGGTGTCACTTAAGTTATGAGACTTGCAAAATATGTGAAAATAACATTTATACCAGATGTGCGGCTTGAATGCAGTTGTTCACCTGTCACACTCTTAAGTTCAGCTAATATCTGTTTCCAGCTGCCGGCTTGCTATTTTGGCATTTGCAAGATAAAAAAACTTCTGCCTCTTAGATTTTTTCCCAAGTATATGGTAGATGCATTTAACATCAGGTCTCCTTCCCTTGCTATATCAAAATACCCACCTTTTCTTCAAAAGTGCTAAGAGAATGAATAGTTTCACAGATATTATTTTTAACTATATGAATATTGTAAAGTATGACTAAGTAGGTTTGTTGAAGACCCTCATCTCCAATAGAATTCAGGCTAACAACTGTAGTTGCTTATTGCATCCGTTCCAGGTTTAGAAAAAAATATTTCAAAATAAAATCAGAAGAATGCAAAGCAAAAATGATGACTGAACCACAAGATTCAGTTGTTATATATGAGTGGTGCTAGAGATGGGCAGGCAGGTGGTATGTGCCATTCTTCTGATGAAAGTAAGTTCACCAATTGAAAGCAGGGTGGAAGGAGACATAGTGTTTGTATGTTCTGAGAAATGTCTGAAATTTCTGAAGTATTAATTGGATATTTGACTGTGGGCAGCTAGGTGGCACAGTGGATAGAGTGGGGCCTGGAGTCAGGAAGACACCTTCATGAATTCAAATATGGCCTCAGACACTTACTAGCTGTGTGACCCTGAGCAAGTCCCTTAACCTCATTTGCCTCAGTTTTCTCATCTGTAAAATGAAGTGGAGAGGGAAATAGTAAACCAGTCCAGTATCTTTGCCAAGAAAACCCCAGTGGAGTCATGAAGAGTTGGACACAATTGAAATGACTGAACAACAACAAATATTTGATTGGGTTATCCATTTTTCCCCCTCTGTCTAGTGATGGAGCAGTATCACTGATATAAAAAAAATGCAAGTTTTTGTTCCTTGTGAAAAAACAAACATATTTACTGCAGGTACTTAAGAAAATAATTTCTCTTTAAATTATGGTATAAGACCAAAGCAATTAGACTTTTACCTCAAATTTTCTGAACTGAATTCTGACTCTAGAAATTTGAGGAACTGTTCTCTCCCAACTGGATCTTTCAATGCTTCATCCATGCCAAAACCCCATCGTTTAACTCTCTGCTGGCCAGGTTCTTTGCTGTAAGTACAAAACAGGTCAACACACATCATTCCACCACATATCCATTTTTCCAGTTTTCTAATACTACCACATTTATCCTAATAAGTCAGATTAATGTTGAAGTTTTAGCCTTTAAATCCTCCTCATCTTTCATCTAGTTAAGAACATTTAAAGATAAATGAAGCTATATGCATATAGTCACAGTGTGAAAGATGAAGGATCAGACAGCAGTATAATGTTGTGTGTAAAGCAAGGGAGAGAAGTGTATGCCTGTTGTCCCTGCTACCAGAGAGGCTGAGGCTGGTAGATCTCTTGAGCTTGAGTGTTCAGAGCTGCAATGTGCTAAGCAGATCAAGTGTCTGCCTTAAGTTTAGCCTCGTTATGGTGAGCCTCCAGAAATGGGAGGGGGTGGCTGCGGCATTGCCTAAGGAGGAATGAACTGGCTCAGTTCAGAAACTAATGCACTAGGTCAAATCCCTCATGCCAATCACATGCACTGGGACTAGGAGTCTCCCAAGTACTTATAGCCTGGGCAACATAGAGAGAGAACCAATGTGTTTTTTTTAAAGTATGGGAATGGGAATCAATAGACATGAGTTCTAGTCTCAGGGGCTCTAACCCTAACTAGCTGCCCTTTAACCTCTCCCTCAGAGTCCTCATCTGCAATGGAGTTGATCAACTCATGCCTAAGATTCCTGCCAGTTAGAAAATTCTACAGAGAACAGATTAAATTTAGACTGGGCTTGCTAAAACAGTTATGGATCACTGGCTGGATTTAGGAGAGAAGAAAGGTCATGGAATCTACTTGGGAATCTGTACAACACTGAATCCTCACTGGGGTGCTTTATTTGGTGACTTCTCCATCTATGTACTCTCAGATGAGTCTTCCTTTAGCTATAATGCAAAGGGCAGAATGGAGAAATTCTAAATAGGTTTTCAGCTTTTCTCAGAGGCTTGTCTATAGAGGAAATTTATAATTGCATCTTGGAGTTTTCCCATATATATTATACATACTATAAGCATTATATGCACACATATACAATATAGTATACATACATAATATATGGTATATAATTATAGTATATAATATACTACGTCATAGTCCTTTCTTCCTCCCCTTCTCCCTCTATTAAGGGTAACCACAACCCAAAATGTGTTTAGGTCAGATAGAAATTCCCATCACCTTCAGAAATGTCACTCAAATTATTTGGATTATGCCCAGGGATGGCTTTGGTTCGTGTACTAAATGAGTGTTTATAGACTAGGGATTACTAGGAGGTGAGACAGAGAGTACTTCAGGAGCTAATCAACTTGGATCCATTTCAGAAATGGAAATCCCTCTCCCTTTTGTGAGCAAGTCTTTAAAACCATTGTGTCTTATGCCTTGGCAGCCTATGGAAGTAGGTGTCACCCATCACAGCACCTAGAACAATGCCTCCTGTTCAAAGGAACAATACATCCTTGACCACCATATTCTAATAGGAAAACTAATGGTTCTTAGAATTTATAAACTCTAGGATTCTTCTCCTTTGGAAGCAAAGCCTGAAATGAAGCATAGCTTTTTTGTGGGAAGGAGAGTTAAAAAGTCACCAACCTTGCTTCAAGTTCCCAGAAAGTGGTATCATCTGACATCCATGGATTAGAAGGGTCAGGTGGCACAAGAAAGGGGTCATATTCAACGTACTGTTCTGTGTAGCTTAGTAGACTAGGAACAAGCAAAAGAAGCACTTACGATCTTCTAGTTTCTCTAGGTATAATCCACCACAGTGCAAATGAAATAGGTTGAGAGATATTTAACCAAGGAAATCCTACTTATTCAGGACTGTAACAGGAAATTCAAATTTCGTGCCATTTTAAATACTTCCACAATTCTATCTTGTATATATGGATTCATTATATTTATTAATGAACTCAGAAAACTGGTAAATAATAGCAATAAAGATACTGATTACCAATACAGGACTCATAACAAGGCACATACTGACAAACGTCTAACGACTGGTTCTTCCAGTTGTCAGTATATATGACATTTTTCAGTTTAATATGCATTATTAACATTTTCTCTATCTTTTTTCTAGTCAATCAACAAAATTTTATATGTGTATATATAATAGATACTATATATAATACACATATATACACATGTGTATACATACACACACGTATGTATTATGTCTGTGTATATACACACGCATGTATGATGGGTAGTTTGCCAATTCCTGAGGTATAATGTCCACGTTGAAAATCTCACAATTGAGCCTTCTGAGCCAGCAGGGGCTGGCTGTAGCACACCCGTGAAGTCATATCCCCTGTTCACTCTCATTTTCCCTGCTGACGGAGCGATTGACTCGCCAATTGACTGAGAACTGAGTATCTCCCACCCATGAAGGTTAAAAATAAGATTTTAAAGTTTGATCAAACGATCAAAGCTTCAGAGCTGGAAATGACTTAAGAAGTCATCTGTTCTAACTCCTTCACGTTACAGGTGAGGAAATTGGCTCAAGAAGATTAAATAATGTGCCCAAGGCCACATAAAGGAGTAGAGGTAGCATTAGAACCCAGGTCTTCTCACTCCATGGCCACCATTCTTTCCACCAGAGGCAGCTAGGTGAAGTAGTGGATAGAGTGCTGGGTGTGAAGTCAGCGATACCTGAGTTCCACTCTGGTCTCAGATTTAATATGCTTTGATCAAATAAATGAGGCATCACATTAGCTGCATGACTCTGGGCGAGTCACTTAATCTCTGGTTGGTTGTTGTGAGAACCAAATGAAATAATACTTGTAAAGAATTTAACACAATGTCTGGCACATAGTAGGTGCTTAAAAATGATTGTTCCTTCCCCTCCTACTGTGGTGGAAAAATACAGTACAACATATGAATTATGAAGAATGGATCTAAATGTGGGTAGGGGAAATAGCTAAAATGTAGTCCTCTGGCTCAAACGAAGAACGCCATTTGGTGCAGGAGTGACATGGAAGCTACACGTTATTTACAAAAAACTTATCTTTTTTGTTTTTAAATTTTATTTACTTTATTTTGAACTTAAGAAATAAGACAAGCATTTCTATAACATAGTAGAATAGGAAAAAGAAAGATGATTGTACATGAAACTACATTCTATACATACTTCTATTTAACACTTCTTTCTCTGGATGTAGATAGTGTCTTCTTTCGTATGTCCTTTGTAGTTAATTTGGGTATTTATAACAGTCAAAATGACTTAGTCATTCAAAGTCATTTTTTTTAAAGGCAACTGGGGTTAAGTGACTTGCCCAGGGTCACACAGCTAGTAAGTGTCAAGTGTTTGGTCTGAGGTTAGATTTGAACTCAGGTCCTCCTGATTTTAGGGCCAGGGTTGTATCCACTGCGCCACCTAGTTGCCCCCATTCAAAGTCATTCTTAAAACAGTATTGTTGTTACTGTATTATATTGAACCAGAAAACTAGAAGCTTCACTCCTATCTGGAATAAAGGGGTTCAGATCTCAGCCTGTTTCATAGCTGGAGCTAAATTGAGATGCTTCCCATAAATGTGGGGATCTAAGCAAGGAATTATCATTCCATTGAGGCAACTCAATTCCTTTTTCTGCTCTTTCTGAGAAGTCTTGAATTATTCACCTCAGTTTTATCCTGTAATTCCATATTTCCCTGCTACCTGTGATTTATTTCCTTTTTATCTTTAATTTGAGACTTTAAAAAGGCAACATCTCAAAATCCTTACCTATCAGCGACTTTAGACATTTTTAACCGATGTCTGTCTAACTGTATTTGCCAGTATTTTATCTGGAAAAAGAAAAGGAGGAGAAACAGTTACAGGGGTGATAGATATTTTCCTCCACTCACACAACTTCCATTTCCAAATTCTGAATCTGAGCAATGCTGAACTGACGTTTGATGCATTTAGTTAAAAAAATAAATAAAATAAATAGTATCTAATGGAGGTAACACTCTTCTTCAAGTAATTAATTTACTCTCTAGTACAATCCAGTTATGAGAACTGAAACCAGTAGGATGATAGTTGAATACACTACCTGCAGACAAAAAAAAATTGTTAAGCATTCTGCCTAATTTAATAAAAGAAAGCAAATGTCTTTTTTTTCTTGAAGAGCAAACCATTTCTTCAACATCCCACTGAGTAAAAAAAAAAAAAGCGAAGAACAATCATATTTTAATCAATATTTCATTCAAAAATGAAATTCGTTCATCATTTGTAGTTTTCAGCCTTTTGTCCAATTCTGACTTGCTGCCTCTGAATGCCAGACGAATGAAATATCAGAGGCACACGCTTAGAAAAGTTTCTGCTCTCCAGATCCCTCCATCTGCCTTGATTGCCCCGCCTTATACAAAAAATTGCATGAATAAAACTTTTGATTAAAAGGCTTCCAGGGAAACAATTTCTAATAATGCATTACCTCACATAGATTAAAAATCCATTAGGAAAGGTTTTATAATGCTTACTTTATTGTTTAGTACAATACTAAGTTGACTGTTAATAATTCCTCTATAAGCTAATGCACAGGAGAGTATTAGGAGGAAGAAAGCCAAATAGAAAGAAAAAACACAAAATGAAATCAGTGACTGAAACAATCTAATGGATTCCATTATCAATGAACCACAGAACTGGAATGCTAATATGTCAAGAAAAAAGGTTGCCAAAACCTTCAAATTTCTCAATTCTTATTATCAGATCTCAGATCTTATTATCAGTTTTTATTAATATCACCTAAAGGGAGGTATCTTAGCCACAAGAGTATGTCAGTCAATAGAGAGTTATCCCCTAGAGTAAAGCGTATGTGGTTTATAAGACTTTACCACTGCCCTAGTTTAATTTATCTTTCATAACTGTCTAGCTCCCTGGTCTCTGGATAAGTGATTTTTCAAGTAGCCTCCTGATAATTAATTTGGTTCCCAAGTATTTTGATACCAGAAATGGGTGTTCTGGGAAAATATCCTCCCCATTAAATTTAATAAAACTTGTAAAACCCCTTCCTTCCTTCCTTCCTTCCTTCCTTCCTTCCTTCCTTCCTTCCTTCCTTCCTTCCTTCCTTCCTTCCTTCCTTCCTTCCTTCCTTTCTTCTTTCCTTCTTTTTCTGTTTTGTCAGTTTCTTATATGTGTGTTTAACAAGAATCAGCTTCCCTCCCTGAATCCCACCCCTGAGTGACCTGCTAAAATTGTATTCCTGAAATTGTCAACCAGATTTGTGGACAAGTGGTGAATAGGCTACCTACCAAGGCAACTAATTTCATGAGACTCAGCCAGTTCATTGGCCTTTTTTTCTGTCTTTATAAACTTCTTAACTGTTAGGGTATGCCTCAAAATTCAGAAGCTTTTGTGCTGACTATGTCTGTATATGGAAAGCCCAGGAATGTGACTGAGTGAACAAACAACGACCTTGTCCCTGGGACATGCTGTTCTCTCCACGCCGTTTCTCTACCCAGTCACCAAAACTGAGAATCTAAGACATTGAATTTGGTAAATGGGGAACCTACCACTCTAAGAAGGTTTGGTAGTTGTTAGGCAAAAAAACAAAACAAAACAAAACAAAACAAAACAAAATTACCTTGTTTAGAACCTAGTCTTCAGAGATTACAGTATGTGAAGTATTCACCATAAGCCAGGCAAGGAGTTCTAAACATCTCTGAGTTCTGAACCCTTTTAGTAATTCAGTGACACCTATGAACATTTTTCTCAGACTAATCTTTTAAAATAATTGTTGGAAGTGCTAAATTTTGGTTAGACATTAGGTTAGTGAACATAAAGATCTGTATCTATCTATCTATCTATCTATCTATCTATCTATCTATCTATCTATCTATCTATCTATATTTTTCCTGTCCAGAAATCTTGAAAGTTATTTATGATCTAAGGACCACAGGTTAAGTTCTTTTAAACTAGAACTCTGAGAAAGGAACCTAAACCCTTGAATCAGGAAGACAAATCTAAAGAAAAGATGGAGTGTGGTTCCCTTAGGAGGCAGAGACCTTGCTGTTTATTCTAAGCAGAGTGGTTCCAGGTCTGGGGATGTCATGATATAGAGATGAAAAGCTTCATAGCCAAGACTTTGAGAAACCTGATGAGGGGCTTTTTGCTGGTACTAGCCAATGACTTCTGACTTTTCTAGCAGAACTTGAAAGGCTTTAAGCTAATACAGTGATACCAATTCTTCCCTTGAGGAAATGAAAGCTAAAGAGTTTAGATGAGACAGTAGTTATAGAGCAATAGCTGAGATTGTAAGTCCAGCTGAGCAGTATTTGGTAGAATAACATCTAGGGGATACTACCAAAAAGTGGCATCAGACAAAGACTACAAGGCCACTTAGGAGCAAGACTGACAGAAGAAGATTAGTGATATCACATATCAGTGGCCCTATAACTGTGGAGTTGTGAGTTGTCCTTCCATGAATATGCCTTGGCTATATGTGTTCTTGCTATATGTTCCTCTTCATGTGTGAGCCTTGGCCACATATATTCCTTGTCTATAGCCACTTTTTCCACTGATGTATGCATTTGTGAGATAATATATCCCAGGTTCATGGGGAACAGGTTTTGTTGCTACTTTTCTTAATATGTCATTTCATTAAATGCCTTTTTCTTTTTCAGAAGGAACTGAGTCTTCTGGCTAACTATTAAAGGTAAACACATTGGTTGGGGCTTGTGAACTATGGTTTTAGGGTATTTGGGCCCACAGAATACTTTGAACCCAGGACAACAATTTCTGTTGGCCTACCTAGCAAGTAGGTGGTGGCATGTGTATAAAGCACTACATCTACACCAAGAACTAAAAGTATGGAACACCAGCAATAATGCAATAATAGTTTGCTCATGTATTGAGTAGTATTATCTCTGTGTTCTCGTACCTGTGTATGGGCATGTGTACATGTATGGGTATCTCAAGATTTCTCAAGCTCTGAGTCATAGAAGTCAGAATCACAGAATTAAAAAAGATCATAGGTGATGGTGGTGCCAAATTTAAGGTTGTATGGAAATTGTGACTGAGCCTTCTACATGGCCTCAACCTTGGAGTCTTGGGGGTATGTGGGGATGTTAAGAGGGAGCACTGGAGTCCAGAATAGACGTATCTGGCAGTCAAAGTGCCTAGGAAAAAATATATGATTTTTATTTTTAACAATTAGAGAGAGACCTGAAGACACAGGAAAAAGTGACTTGAGGAATGAATAGCTCACGGAAGGATCAAATAGTATAATGTATATAACGCATTTTGCTTAAAGCACTATATAAGTGTTACATGTTATTATTAAGAAAAATAATAAAAGTTTGAGTATCACTATTCTGTCAAATGAGAACATAACTTTTGGACACACATTTTTACTACATAATGAGGAAGAGGTGCATGGTAGCAACACATACCAGCTAGTTCTCAGTTTAGTTTTGCAATAATATTTTGTCAAGTAATTTAGAAAGTTAACAAACCTGTTGGTGCAATTCATCTTCTGTTGGAGGCTTAGTTTCTGGTATGGGTGTGTGAGTTGGGCTGTGGCTTCGAATATCATTTTGTAGTCCATAGACCGACTAAATTTAAACCAAAACAAGAAATACATTACTCCTCAAACAACATTCATATATTTAATCTTCCTTTGAACTCTAACTTTATGTCATTTCTTCAGTGAAGGTTTCCTGTCCTTTAAATTATGTTTCATATCGAAATTTCTAGGGCAAATATCTTGTGTTGAAAAATTGAACCTTTCATTTCTGAATCATTAAGTTCTGATTATAGATAGTGAACATGAAGAACATAATAATAGATTATTTAGGGAAGGTAGGAATATGTAGGAGGTGAAGAGAATACTGAGGATGAAACTCAGTAACAGTTTTCTAAGTATAAACTTCAGGGAGTGGAGATGGAAATAGAAGAGAAAACACAGTAAACCCATCTAGGGCAAAACATGATCTAAGCTGTAAAGAGAAAGGGAACAGAGTCCAGTGTTAAAGAGACTAGATAAGGAGGAGACCTGGCTATTAGAATTACTTTATGATAAAAGAACTAAAACATGGTGGGATCTCAGAGGTCAGTTAGTCCAACACCATCAGTTCACACATAAGGAAGCTAAGGTCCAGGGAGAAGTTAAACAATTGCCCAAGATCATACTGGTTGTAAATGTTAAAGGCATGTTTGGAACCCAGGTCCAACCATCACCATTATCATGTTCCTCTGGAATCAGTCTACCCAAGGCAGAATTCAGTTTCTAGTTATGTTCACATGTTGTTGTTCAGTCATTTCAACTGTGTTCTATTCTTCGTGACTCCATTTGGAGTTTTCTTGGCAAAGATACTGTAGTGGTTGGCCATTTTCTTCTCCAGATGAGAAACTGAGGCAAACAGGGTTAGATCACTTGCCCAAGGTCACACAGCTAGTACATGTCCGAGACTGGATTGGAGCTCCCAAAGACGAGTCTTCCTGGTTCCAAGCCCAGTGGTCTTTCCACTGTGCCATGTAGCTGCCTGTGTTCACGTGGCCCTTTTCAAAACCACCCTTGGCTTCAGCTTTCTCGTGTGTACTTTGGTAGTGTAGTGGGTAGTAAGCTTTGGAGTCAGAAACAGCTCAGGTGCTTTTTAGCTCTGCTTGGTCTTTGTTTGCCTCTATTTCCTTGACAATAGAGTGGTGATAATAACAGCTCTTACCTTGCACGGCTGTTGCGAAGATTGTGTGGGATAACATTTATAAAAAGCACTGAGCACAATGCCTAATGCATAGTAGGTCCTATGTAAATGCTTATTCTCTTCCCTACTCCTTAAGTCCACACAGTCTGGGAATTACCAGAGAAAATGTTAATGAATGCTGTTGGAATGAGTGGGCAGCTAGGTGGCACTGTGGAAAGAGCACTGGGCTTAGAATCAGAAAAACTCATCTTCGTGAGTTCAAATCCAGCCTTAGATATATATTAGCTATGTGATCCTGGGTAAGTCATTTCACCCTGTTTGCCTCAGTTTCTTATCTGCAAAATGAGCTGGAGAAGGAAATGGCCAACCACTCCAGTATCTTTGCCAAGAAAACCCCAGATGGGGTCAGGAAGAATTGGACATAACTGAAATGACTGAATAACGACAACAAAATTGGAGTGATTAGCATGACAGTAGGCCTAACACACCATTTTGCTTGGCTTCAAATGCTTGATGGTGAACTGTTGTATTTTAAAAGCCAGAGTTGATATTTAGACTGATGTAATGCCTCAGTACTTTTTAAACTAGTGTCTATAGTATACTATTTTTCTATATTCATAGACATTTGCTTTGTCTCTTGGATTAAAAGTAATGATGACTGGCTGTCATGAGTCAGTACTAAGGTTTAAGAGCATAAGAAAAACCAGAAAACTTAAAAGGAATCAATATATAATAATTACAAAACTGACAAAAGAACAAAAGTGTAGCATATAGAACTAGTAAACCTGATACATTATTCCAGACATATTCCAGACAAATCAATCCTTCTGGGATCTTCAGATAGATGAACTGAATCCTAAATCTTACCCTGGACCTCTGTACATGTCGTTTAAATTGACTATGAGTCACTTTTCCATCATTTTACAAACACTCTTAACTCTGGAAGGATAGCTGATGAAATAAAAAGCTTAAACTTTCTTTTTGCTACATTATTTAAGCCATGTATCAGATCTATGATTCCATCACCATTTTCCTTTCAAATCAAATACTGACTTTCAGGCTGTCATGTTTTATAAGATGAGTTTTTATTTCAGAATGACAAACAAAAATACTAGTTGACTTGGGATTCTTAGCCTTATTTGGGCTTTTTTTCAAAGATCCTTAAAATAGGCCTCTTTATGAAGGACAAAAATGAGAAACACAAGAACCCAACCAAAGGCTTATACCCGAATTTTTGTTGACAGATTCAATAGGATACTGGATTAAAGTAAGGAAAACCAAAATTATATGGAAAATTACATTATTGTAGATGAAGAAGAAATAAGATGATCTTAAAGGTCCCTTCTAGCTTCAAAATTTTGTAATGGAGGTTCAATGAATGTATAGGCCTCATCAGCTTGTTCAAATGACATCTCCATGTAGAGATCTCTAAGGAGAACATGGCTTTTCTCTCCGTGGAAGCAGCTATGGAAGGAAATGGTATCTGCCCATATAGAGAATTCTAAGGAGCTGCTTTTGAGAAAATTGTGATGATGTATAAAGAAAGGGCCTTAGAGAGACTGGAACATATGTAGACATTGTCTAACTGGTTATAGTCAGCTAAAGATGTGATGAAGAAAAGGCTTTTTATTTGTCTGCTGAGTGATTCAAAGAATCCTATCAATCTCAGTCTCCTCTTTGCCTCAGGGCTTTTATTGACTTGTGAAGGGAGTGGAGCCTAAGGACTGAATTCAAAAAGTCCAGAAGGCTTCTTGGCATTCCATCATGCCTGAGTTCAGGTTTGCAGCCAATGCAATACTGATATATTAAGGTATGAAAAGAAAGGAGCCTTCTTCAGCATCCCATCCCTCCAGAGCCCAAGTTTCATAACCAGAACAGCACTGATGACCTGAGGAGTCAGGAGTGACTTTTGGGAGTGGCTTTCAGGACCCCAGTCCAGGAATAACTCATTTGGCAGTGATGTAGTTTTTAGATATGAACTTGCTGGGACCAATAATAGTATGTAGGAACTGAACAAAATTGTGAGCTTAATCATACTTTTTCCCCTATACACCTAATAGGTCAAGGTAGTATAGGATTGTTAAAGTTAATGGTGGTATAGGAGTGTTAAAGTAAATGTTTGTACCTTTCTTCTTACTATATCTTTGAAGCAAATATTCCTGTATAAAATGCTAATCAGTCTTAATTGTTAAATGGAACTTGGGTGTTAGTAACAGGGCTGTAGTTCATGGCTTCTACCTACAACCTCTCAGGGTGCCCTGAAACCCTTAAGGGGAAGATGTAGCCAGTATGGACCTGAGAGAATGGGGCCAAAGCAAATCGTGTTAAAAACTACAGTTCTAAGACTCCATATTTCTTAGGCACAAAAAAGGCAAAAAATGTCTCAGTTTATGAAATCAGTTTAAGTGCTACACAGTCCACACCAAAGGCATTTCTCAGGGAGACTGGCTATTGACAATCAAGTGACTCAGGAGTTTCTATTTTTGACTGAGCTCCAAAGTAAGCACTTCGGAGTTAATTTTACAACTAATATAAGACAGCAGATCTGTTGAGATTCAGAAGCCAGAGAAGAGTGTGCAAGAGAATCACAGTTTTAAATGTCATTTTTGGGAGTGTTAGGGACGATAGTATTATGCTAGTATAAGAGAACAGTTGACTTGTAATTACCAACTTGATGCAGGAGAAAGACCATTGTATTTGGACTTACAGAATCTACTCTAACCCAGGCTTTGTCACTTACTGCTTTTGTGACTTCGGGCATGGCATTTTACCATTCAGGATCTCTGTTTACTTATCTATAAAATGAGAGAGGCTAGGTAAGCTCTCAACTCCAAATTTATGGTCTTATTAATTGGAGGTTGATCCAGCATGGCTTGTTTCATAGACAATGAAGACACAGAAATTGATGCCCCTCCTCATAGGGGTGTTTTGAGGCTTATCTCCATTGCAAGTGCTTTAAAATTCTCAGGAAAAGAAATGACATGCTATGTTGTGGAGGCTATAAGATATTAAAGTTGGCCAATTCCAAATATCAAACTCAACTATTAATCCAAGTATTTTTGAGTCTCTATTAATTTTGAAATTTGTAATCTTACACATATGTATGAGCTCATATATATATATATATATATATATATCACTGAATCTTGAAATCATGTATTTCTGTGTGTATACATATGTATGTTTAGTTAATAAAAACATACATGCAACCCAGAACCTCAGTTAAAAATAAAGCAAAAATTTTCTATGCCTCAGGACTACATTTTGCAAATAAATTATTTAAAACAATATGTTTGAATATCATACATTTGCATTTTGAAGTAAGGATCCATGCTCAGCTGAGCCTCCTGCAAATACAAAAATACAGCATAGTAGCAAGAACTCCAGGTGTGCAATAAAGGGGGGAGCCAGGCTCTCATACCACCCCTGAACTAGCTATTTGAACATGGGCCTCCCACCTCTGATCCTGGGAATAATACCTTTAAGACTTATCTCACAGGTTTGTTGTGGGCATTAAATGTGATAAAGCATATAAGTGATATAATAATCATCATAATTATGGTCATGATGATAATGATAACTAACATTTATATATCACTTACTATGTGCTAGGCATTGTGTTAAGTACTTTACAAATATTATCTCATTTGATCCCTACAACAGCCTTAAGAGAGAGGTGCTATTATTATCCCTATTTTATAGAGGAGGAAACTGAGGCAAACAGAGGCTAAGTGACTTGCACAGAGTCACAGAGTTAGAAAGTGTCTGAGGCTAGATTTGAAGTTAGGTCTCTCTGACTTCAAGCCCAGTGCTCTCTCTATTTATTGCAGCATCCGACATTACAAACATTGAATCCTATATCAAAGTTAGCAATTATTACAAACATATAAGAGCATAAACATGTTTTAGAGTTCAAGTGGATTAATATAAAAGAGCAGCATGCAAATTCCATCCCTGCTACTTATTAGCTCTTTGACCCTAGGGAACCACACCGTTCGACTTTTTATTTATAATGCGGGGGTATTGGACTACATTGTTTACATGGTCCCTTGTATTTCTAAGTCAATGAGCTTATGATCTTTACTCATTATTTGAACTAATTGATGATTGGTCTTCCTCAAAAGAATAAACTGGACTTTGCAAATTTGTTCATTGTTTTTCACTACTATGTATATTAGTTAATGTTTCTTCTAGGTCAGTAACACTATAGTAATATACTTTTGAATGAGGAAAAACAACAGAGAAAAATAGAGAGGGTTGTGGAAGTTCACAGAATATTATTTTTGGGGGAGATAAAGAAACTAGAGAAGGTTGTTGAAATTTCCATATGATTAGAATATCTAACTATGCATACCAGAGAAGCATTCACTTGTAGCTAAGAAATTTCTAAAGAATTTGAGACCTACTCATTTCTGAAGTACATATTTTGATCTCCAATTTCCTTTTTTATTCATGAATCATATTTAAAAATTGTATTTACCTATATAGAGACACTTCAGGTAAATTGTTATTAATGTAATCTTTATATACCTGGCAAAAATACCAGGTGTGTGGGAATTAACTAATTCTAAATATCAGATCAGGAGAGCAAGAGATAAAGAGAGAGAAGGAGGGGTAGAGGGAAGGGAATGGGGAGAGCAAGAAAGGGAGAGGGAAAAGGGAGAGAGAAGGGGTAAGGGAAGAGAGACCATGAAAGCATCAGGAGGAGGTTGGAAGAGTTTGTGTCTGAGTTCAAAGTCATTCTGTCATTGTCATAAAAAAAGACAAATGGACCATTTAAATTATTTCAGTGCCCTAAACATTATTGTTGTTTTTAAATGATGCTTTTTTTGGTTGGGACTAATTCTAATAAATTCAATGTGATAGAAATCATGGAACTAGATTTATGAAGAGAAGAGATGGTAATTTTTGAATAGTCTAAAATGGAGATAGGTTATAATATCATGATGTCACTCTTTAAGCCATTATGATCAATGGCCAGAATCTTGGTGCTGACTCACCCTGGAAATAATTTTGAAACTGACACATAGAACTGGAGGTCAGGTCCCTTTTGTATGGCTTATTTATTTTTCCATATTTCAAGGAGTTAAAATTTGGATAGCAGCATTTCTAGCCAGTACTTTTCAGTCCAACAGAGAAAGATATATGCTATATTAACAAAATATCATTGTGAAGTCTAGTTTTACAAAAAGAGAACATGTATCTGTACATGTATGTTCAAGTTGTACTCAATTCTAGCAGTGGGACAGAAGCTGCTAGGTTTTTTTGTTTTTGTTTTTGTTTTTCCAAATCAGAGCCTATCTTCCCTAGGTTTCAGTTGAGGAAAATTACCATATAAGAGAAAACTGTGAACAGGATCTCTTCCCAGTTCCTCAGGAGAGAACAGGAGTTATTTCCCTCAATATTTTTGGTGAGCTTTTTGTTTTGTTTTGTTTTGTTTTAATCTTGCCCTTCATCATGGCTATGAGTGCACTCATGCTATGCCTTTGAAGAGAGTTTCAAAAGGCTGATGGGTGGAGTGACTGGCAAGAAACAGAGCAGTAGTTCTTTTTGTCTTGCTTTGCCTTCTCTCCTAGAGGCAAAATAAAAACCCTTTCTGACTGCTGTATTTGAATTGGTTTTATGACACTTGCTGAAGGTTGTTGTTTTTTAAACCCAGGTACTGAGGAGAACTGCCTTGAATTAAAAGTATCTTATTATGTCAAGGACTTTGGCCTCCATTCAATAGAGCCTTTAGCCATTGTTATTGTTCAGTTGTGTCCAACTCTTAGTGACCCCATGGATCATATTGTCCATGGGGTTTTCTTGGCAAAGATACTGGAGTGGTTTGCCATTTCCTTCTCCAGCAGAGAAGCTCCTCCTAGGCAAACAGAGTTTAAATGAATTGCCCAAGGTCACGCAACTAGTAAGTGTTTGAGGTCATATTTGAACTCAGGTCTGCCTGATTCCAGGTCCAGCACTATCCACTGAGTCATTTAGCTGCCCCATCCTTTAGCTATACTACTATATGAATAACACCCTCAAAAATGCTTAGTGATTCTATCTGGTGGGCACTTTCTGGTTCAGTCAATAACTCAACCAGTCAGCATTAATTAAGCAACTACTACATGCCAGACACTGGGCTAAATACAGGCTAAACAAACACAAAAAGTGATAACAGCTTTTGACTTTAAAGGAAATATGAAGACTTAAGGAAGAATCCACAAAAGGTAGTGCCCTGAGCCTAATTAAATGCCATTAACAGAAAAGTCTATAGTTTTCACTTCTTATTCACTGTTGAGAACTTTTTTTCTCCTTTGGTTTTCTGAAAGTGGCCCTTTCCCCATCATTTTCTTCCCTCATTCTGTGTCTACTTTTCTTCTTCTGACTTGCCTGTGCTTACAACTATAAAAGGTCTCTCCATTGCTGATTCTGTCTCCCTAGTGACTGAGGACTTTAGCCCCATCTCCTGCCTTTTGGTACTCATTCCTTGCCAAGCCTTCTTAGAGCTGAGGCTATATGTGAATGAGCATCACTCCCTAACTCCCAAGCCTAATCCCCAAGCAGTTTTACTCAGGGGAGTGGGGAGTGAGATATTTTTTGAGGCTTCCGAGGACAGTACTTCGGATCGATCCCAGATTTCTTGTTTATCCAAGGCAATGAGGGACGGTGGGTAGGACCAGACAAGTAAGTGTTCAGTAAAGCAAAAAATGTAATGGAGAATTCTGGTTCCTGGCATAAATTCCATTGCTTTGGGAGGGGCATTGGTAGTGGTGGTAGTTGTATGGTACAGAGTACAATCTGCTTGTTTTAGGGCAGGCATACAAAGAAGAAGGGTGCCCCATTCCCCAAAGAATCCAAAAGAGGAAGTAGATATAAGGCTTGGAGGTGGTGTTGAGGCAGGTCTTGGAAGAAGGACATTACTGTTGGAGAGTGGCATCAAACATTGCAGAGACTGTGGACGGTAGGACTACAAAGGAAGCATGTCTACATCCTCCCCCCACCCCAAGCCTTTGGCACCCTGGGACAAAGCCTCATTTATCTTGGCCTAGTTATGGCTCTGGTGAAACATGGGAAAAAAAATAACTTTGATGTGGCTGTAGCCCCAGGGTCTTCCTGTGGATAAGAGACCCCATCACCCTCACTGAGGCAATCAGAACACTTCCTACTTTACCTTTCGAGTTTTGTGAGGGTTCCTCATTCTGGATGATTTTTTAATATCCACTTCGGTTGTGTTTACACAACCAGGCTAGAAATGGAAAATAGAGAAAATAGCTCCTTGAGAAAAGAGTTGTTCATCAGTGCATTTCTTTGCATATTAATGACAGGAGTTGGAAACATTGTGCATACACAGTGACAAAGAAAAACACTGGTAGTTCTCCCCAAATTGCCTTAGCAGCCTTTATCAGCCAAAGTTATTATTGAAACGAAGAGGTTACTCCATTTTCCTTTCTACATTTTAAAACCTCCAATTACCATGCAAAATATAATGCTCAGAAAAACACAGACTCAGGTTTGGGATGTGAGTGTAAGGAGTTATACTGATAATTTCTCACTCACCAAGCTCAGAGCTACAGTCTACACAGTCCTCTAAAGGAATGATGTCTTTCTGGCTGATCTCCTGGCACTATTCTCCCTGGAGTATAGAATGTTTACTTAGTCATGGTATTCTTATTCTTATTCTTATTCTTATTATTATATGGTTACTTGGTTTACCCATGATGAAAAAATAAAGTGACATTCAGTCTGGCCAACTCCAACACTCCAACTCCAGAATGAATTTTTACAGTGGTTACAAATTCCAGGAATTGGGGAGTCCATGATGGAAACATTTGGTTCCTAAGAGACAGTATGTGTGTGGCCACTGGAGTCTGTGGCCACAGTGAGGACGATAGAAACAGGAACTGGCATACAATATTCTATACACATAGAAGTTCAAAAATCTCACCCGGCCCTTATTTTCCCCTGATATGTCGTCCTAATGCAGGCAAAAGTGGGAAAGAGGAGGACGGGAGTGGTCAGTAGCCACCCTTTGTAATCCTTCAATCTTTAAGATTCTTACTCTTATTTTAATCAGTGACAATGATACCACTAGAGTGGCATGGCAAGTAGTGGCAAAATTAATCAGATTCATGACTAATGAGGATTTTCCCCTTTTGGCAATGTTCCCAGTTTGTGAAAAGTGTTGCTGAGAGATAAAGAGTACTTTAGGTAAAACTATTAAGTTTTTCTTTTCTTTCCTTCTTTCTTTCCTTCTTTCTTTCCTTCTTTCTTTCTTCCTTTCTTTCTTTCTTTCTTTCTTTCTTTCTTTCTTTCTTTCTTTCTTTCTTTCTTTCTTTCTTTCTTTCTTTCTTTCTTTCTTTCTTTCTTTCTTTCTTTCTTTCTTTTTTAATTTAAAAGAGAAAAGAGGAACAGGGAAAGGAATATTTATAGGTTCATCAGATCTCATAGTCACAAGGGGCCTTCTGAATCATTCATGATTTAAAAGCAATGGAAATGATCACTGACACTGGTTTTCCTTTCCTTTTCAATTTTTGCATTGCTGTTTAAGTATATCAAACAGGAATAGCAGAGAAAACAGGTCAAGCAGGCCCAGAAAACTCAAGTCTTCTTATGTCTCCCCAAAAGCTTGAAGATGCATTTTTAACACTGGATCCCATCACAGAGAAGGTGAGGAAAGATAGACTCAGGAAAGGAGTGGGAATGGTGAGAAGCATTTAGACCAGTTAAAGAGGATTCCTCTCCCAGAGAGAGAGAGAGAGAGAGAGAGAGAGAGAGAGAGAGAGAGAGAGAGAGAGAGAGAGAGGGAGAGAATCAATTAAGGATACAAGTTTATTTTTCTCAAAACTTTTATTGATATGTTTTATTTTTACAAATCACTTACAGATTGTTGCCAATTTGTGAGACATTTCTAAATTTATATTAAAATAGTTAAGTAAAATTAATAAAACTTATTAGCTGTGTGACCCTGGGCAAGTCACTTAACTTCTTTTAGCTTCAGTTTGCTCAATTGTAAAATGGGGGTAATAATAGCCCCTCCAAGAAAATACAATATGTAAAGTGCTTTGTAAATCTTAGATTTTTACATAAATGTTAGTTGTTAATATTATTATTAATTAAGTACTTAGTGACAAATAAAAATGTGAGAAAATAGGCTTTTAAAATACACAAAAGTCTCATACCTAAAATATCATGAATGCTTTCATCAAGAAGAAATACTATAAGCAGTTTTCAGATGAAGAAATTAAAGCTATCTATAGTCATATAAAATGTTCTGAATCACTATTAATTAGAGAGATGCAAATTAAAACAGCTGAGGTACCACCTCACATCTATCAGGTTGGCCACTATGACATAAAAAGAAAATGATAAATGTTGGAAGAGATGTAGGAAAACTGGGACCCTCATGCACTGTTGGTGGAATTGTGAACTGATCCAACAATTCTGAAGAACAATTTGGAACTATGCCCAAAGGGCAAAACTGTATTCGTTTTGACCCAGCAATACTACTACTAAGTCTATACCCCAAAGAGATAAAAAAAAAAAAGGGAAAAGCACCTATTTGTTAAAAATGTGGTGGCAAAAAACTGCAAATTAAGGGAATGCCTACCAACTGGGGAATGGCTGAACAAGTTGTGATATATGATTCTGATGGTATACTTTTGTGCAAGAAAATGACAAGCAGGATGTCTTCAGAAAAAACCTGGAAAAACTTACACAAACTGATGCAAAATGAAGTGAGCAGAACCAGGAGAATAGTGTACACAGTAACAGCAATATTATATGATGATTAACTGTGAATGACTTAGCTATTCTCAGCAATACAATGATCCAAGACAATTCTAAAAGTCTCATGATGAAAACTTCTGTTCACATTCAGAGAAAGAATTGATGGAGGCTGAATGTAGATCAAATTATATTATTTTTCACTTTATTTTTTCATGGTTTGTTTTTCTTTTGGTCTGGTTTTTTTCCTTTCACAACATGACTAATATGGAAATATATTTTACATGATAGTACATGTATAATCAATATCAAATTGCTTACCACCTTAGGGAAGGGGAAAATTTGGAACTCAAAATTAAAAAAAAAATTGAATGTTAAAAATTGTCTTTACATGTAATTGGGGGAAAATAAAATATTATTTTAAAAGGAAGAAATATCATTCTTCCCTTTTTTAAGAGATAGAGACCTATGTATGTGCATGTAACATATTCAGCTAATATGTTATTAAATTTTGTTTTCTTTATTCTTTATTACAAGAGATGTCTCTCCAGGTGGCAGAAGAAGGACATATTTAGGGGGAAAAGGTGCAGTAAAAAGATAGACATCAATAAATATTAAAACAAAATAGTTTTAAAAGAGTTAAATGGTACTAGAAATGGCAAGCGCCAGATAATATCAGAAAAAAAAGTTAAACTGACTATACCTTAACAGATGGGAAATATGGGAGTTATTTACAGATCAGCAGTGTATAATAAGACCATTAGCTTATCACAGCAAACACCAATTAAAAGGAAGGATAAAGATGAAAAGAAGCTATGGAATGAAATTCAAATTGATTCACCCTGACCTATTTAAACAAGCCATTGATATAAAAATATAGGGAATGGAAGAAGGAACAGATATCACCATTTCCTGTAGAAATTTAATCAATATAAATTAAATCACTGTAGTGTCATGTGGAAAAGTTTGGAAACCACCTCAGCCAAAAAACTTAATCTCATTTTTAACCTCACTCATTATAAACAAGAAGAAAATTACATCTCCCAAGTATAGACCAATGATCTTAACTTTGCTATCTGGCCAAATGTTATAGTGTATTACTGCATGGATGGTTAGTGAAATCTAAAAAAGTAAGCAGTGAAAACAAAGAGTTAACATGCCAGCATAATTAAAGAAATTTTGACAGGATGTTAAACTGATGGGTTGGGGAGAGGATATCATGTATGTATGTTTTTCCTAGATTTTAGCAAAACTTTTGATAGTTTTTAAAGCTATTTTTCTGATAAACATAGGCTTAAGATAGATGGTAGTATAATTATATGGATATAAATTTGCTTTATTGCACAAAATACTTAGCGTGAATAGTAATCATTAATAGGTCAATATCAACGTGGAAGAAGGGAGCCAGCAGAGTACCCGGGGATAAGTGCTTGGTTCTGTGTGGTATAACATTTTGTTAGTGACGTGGATAAAAGTGAAGATGGCATCTGACTCAAAGTTGGGAGATGTAAGTGATGTCCTGGATGATAGTCAGGATTTGAATAGATGTTGCAGTCTAGATCACTGAATTTAATCTAATAACATGAAATTTAAGAGGAACAAATATAATTCTATGCTTTATACTTGGGTTTACTTAACCCCCCCCCCCCCGCTTTACAAGTATAGATAGAGGAGACATGGCTAGAGATAAGTTTGTCTGGAAAATATATGAGTTTTAATATAATGCCAGCTCAACCAGAGTCAATAGTGTGATATGAAAGCTAGAAAAACTAATGTGATCTAGGGGTGCATTCAAATATGCACGATTGCAAGGACTAGGAAGGTAACAGTCCTATTGTATTCTGACTTGGTCAAGCCATATCTGGGGTATTTTGTTCAAGCCTAGGAACCACATCTTAGAAGTAACACTGAGAAGCAGACAAGTTTCCAGATGAGGGTAACCAGAAGATGTTAGACTTGGAACTCATGTAATAGAAAAACTGATAGAAGGAACTGAGGACGTTTAAGCAAATGATAACTGTCTCCACTTACTTAAAGAGCTATTAAATGAATGATGGAGTAGAATGATTCTGTCTAGCCCTAAATTGCAGAAATGAGGATAATGGATGCAAGTTGCACAGAAGACATAGATGAGAATCACATAGGATAAGAAACATTGATGCACTGCTGGAAGGAGTGCCCATGTTGATAATATCATAGATCCATTGCAATGTGAAAGTATGATATTATAGGTTCAGTAACATATGAAAAAAATAGCTATTTGAAAGAGTGGCATAGTGGAAAGAGTAATGGACTAAAGAGTCAGAAGACCTGGTCTAGTGCCATCTCTCAGGCAGCGAGGTAGCAGAGTGTATAAGAACACTTGGATTTAAGTCAGAAAATTTGAGTTCAAATCCAGCCTCAGAAATTTAGTACCTGTGTGACCCTGGGCAAGTTACTGTTGGCTTCGGTTTTCTCAACTGTAACATGCAGAAAATAATAATACCTACCTCCCAGTGTTGTTTTGAAGATCTAATGAGATAA